TTTCATCTGTTGGTTTGAAAGGATGGGCCAGTAATTGTGTGCTATAGAGAAGGCTGCATAGAGATAATTATCCTTCAGTTGTGTTCCATCAACACTTGATCATACCGAGTCGAGTCTCAATCAATTAAAAAAAATTAAACAAACATTGTTTTACCAGGGATGTCTACACTCACTAAAGAACTTGTCTACACAGTCCATCTTAACTTAGCAATGTCTCTCACAAGTATTCCTTCAAACCAGTCTAAGTTAAACTGCTAGAATTTGTATTAAATACTGCAATTAACAATAAATAGGTTTTGCTATTCTTTTGAAAGATTTAGAAATAGAATCAACAAGAAGATATTTTATTGTTGCACCAGTAGGAAAGACTGGAACTTGAATATGTTTGAAAGGATCAAGAAGATTTTTTCACGAGCACATGATTGCTTAGCTGACATGTTCATCTCATCAACTATGTCTGTTCCGTGGTCGAGGTGAAATTCTTCTCATAATTTTATTATGACTAATCTTAAAGCATCCAATCCTATCTAGAGCATAAATATAGATATAAAAAGCTAAGAAGAGGGTGAACCCGGCACACATTACTTGAAGCTAGTCTAGGCCTCTTACCATCTGCTCTTAGCCTTAGTCAAATTGCTCGTAACATCAAGCGTAAATGGGATCTTTGTAGGTGAACTTTGAGAGATTTGTGAGAGCAATTAAATCAAGTATTACCCTAAATTACTCCGGATGCAAGACCACATTGAGAGGGACTGTGATCAAGACACTCATATGATCTTGGCAAGCTTCTTCATGTCTGCTTCATGTTGAGGTATACCAATGATCAGTTTAAGGCAGCATAGATGTAAGAAGGAACCCTCCTGTGTAATAGGTATGAGAGCTAATGAGCAAGATTTTTGCCCTATAGGAGTCGGGTAATTGGCTTCTTGGTCCTATTTACAACTCTGGAATGGAAGATAGTGACATTGATGGTATAGGTAACCATTATGATCCATTCTAGTCTGTGTGAGCAATGCATCAACCTTCCTTCTTTTCCACTTTCCTACTTTCCTATTTCATGAAGGGCTTACTTAAGAATTAACAAATTATAGTACACAAATTATCCCCCACAAACTCTCTCTAATGAGTAGATGATAGTTCTTCATTTCCAATCCCCTGGTTTCATTTTACAAATAAATTGACTAAAATATGCATGGGATGAATAAAGAATGATTCACAGAATCACTCAATGGGATCTCCTGAAGACATGTTCATTCTAGTCCAACACAGTAAAAACAAAACTAAAACTGAAAATGTGGTCAATTTTTGTCTGATGTATATTATTTCTAAAACAGGCTTTAAATTTATAAAAAAAAACTATCTATTTTCCTCAAAGATCTAAGCAAAGCATATAAGTATTAAAGCTAGAGTTGATTGGAAGGAAGTGATTTGGTCAAAATATAGTTCATCTAAAACCATCAAATGACATCCAATCTTGACATTGATGGACTAGGTTAACACCCTACACAGATGGAATCAGACTGCACAACCCACAGAGATGATATAAACAGATCAACGTCATCTAATATTAAACATCTGTGTTTAAAAGTCAAGCTTCAGCTAGACGCAGAGATTCCATCCCGCCCGCCCCTAACCCACGGGAATCTATCTCGCGGGGGAATCATTTCAAAATCTGTAGGCAATTCAACATAGTGATGAATGTTGAAATATAAAGTGACATAAGGATCACATCAATCATTCAATATATCAACATTCATACCTATCTCACTCTTCCTGATGCACTTGTTTCCCATCCATCAAATGTTATCTATTCTTTGTCATACTCATGAGATAGGTGGTAGAACCCATATACTCAGGAGATAGGTGGTAGAACCCATATACTCAGGAGATAGGTGGTAGAACCCATATTTTCAAGAGATAGGTGGTAGAACCCATATGAATGATAAAGTTCCTTCACATCAGCATTAGATCAAAGCAACACTGAAGCTTCTGATTAATTACCAATAAAGGCCATTATACTAAATGTTGATTTAAAGGTTTAGATCATAACCAATATCATTATTAAACATTTCCACTCATGTCTTTTGGTCACTTACTATATTCAAGATACCCTCTGAAGCTCATGAAAAGCTGAGAGACTATTTTTTCTACTCCTTTCAATTTCAAAAGGAAATAAATCTAAGATGAGAATACTGGTCATACCAACCATGATGTTAGGGTCTTTTGTTATCATCAGCTTAACAAAAGACATAACTGTCACAACAATAATATCAAACTTCAAGGTATCAGTATAGGGGCTATATGGCAAGGTGATGATGATATCATGGCCAAGGCCTAGGCAACTATGAACGTAACACACGTAGCCCCAGCAGCTGTAATAGTACACTGAGTGGAAGATGAAGGGGGTGAGTGGAAGGGAATGGGGGGAGGGGGTTGTCTGCAAGATCATATGCTTATTTGTGGAGTAGCTCCTTGGAAGGTAGTGAAAAAAGGGGTGGAGGGAATTATCAACATGACCTCAAGTGACACTGTAGCACTAGAGAAGTTTCTAATCAGATTGGTTGGCATCTTGCCCCTCATCACCTATCACTCAAAGAGGCAGCCCCTCCTGTAACCCCTCCCCCATCAGATTGAGATCATTTTCTGCTTAAATTGAATGGCTTCCTCGATGGGGACAAACAGAGCGTCAAGACAGACTGTCACTTTCATTTCATTTCTAGTCTCTTTTGGGTAGATTGGAAGTGAATTATAAATGATCAGGTTTGATTTGCTGGACTGTTTGTCTGTCTCTATTGGTCCAGTTGCTAAAGATGTATGCCCTAACATGGACCTAGTGACGTGCTCTTGACTACATAGCTAGCATGCCAATGCATCCAACATAAGGTTGAATAGACTTGAACAAAAGCAGTCACTATTTACAGCACACACACTCTCCCTCTCTCTCTCTCTATCCGAGCCCAACTGTTCAGAAATGTCTGTACGTGTCTAGATATCGCCTGGTCTGACAGCAGCACAGCACTCTACTCCAAGGCAGAGAAAAAATGTTTACACTCCAACACTAACTAATGAACTGCCATTAATGACTTTCATTAGATCTTAACAACCTTGACGTTTGCCTTAGCCAATCAATCCTGTAGGAGTGGCGGTAATGATTCAGCCAGAGATTGTAATGAGACACTCAAAGATCAGGAGGGATGTTGTGGGCACGGATATGGGTCACTAATTAATACAATAAGCTGTGTACTAAGTGATGACCTAAATGGGGGTAGGAGCTATCTGCCTAATGGCTTTTACAGAGCACAGTCAGGAGTATTGGTACATACAGGAATATTCTCTATTCATAAAATTCTACCAATATTTTGAATTGATTAGTCTGGATGAATAGATCACAAACAGCTTTAAAATCCATATTTCTGATGGAAATTAGAAACAATATGAATTAAAGCACCTCGACATGATGAAATATTGACAATACATGTACTTTTGATACATTATACATTTCAATTGACCACAAGCAATAACATTTTATATGGAATTCCTGCCTTGCTTACACAATTTGATGCGTATTGTTTCTATATTTTGTGTCTTCATATTTTGCATGGCTTAACGGTAAATATTTTAATGTGTTTGTATTGAAACAAGGTGGAAAGGGACTTGATAACATAAATGAGCATCAGCTGGGCTGTGATAAATACCATGTGCTTAGAGGTGTTAACTGTAGGTACCCTGACATTTCAACAACACCATACTTCATGGATGACATCATACATACATACTCAACACACATAGGGAGCTGAGGTAATAAGTTGGGACCCAAGTCTAATCTAAATCATCACAACAAAATAAATATAAAACCAAGAATATCATGAACAAACTATGTATGTATATCAAATATGACATGATAGAACATTGAATGTTTTGTGGAGCATACTTTGTATCTCTTAACCTTCCTAACATCTTCAAGTAGACTAAAAAAAATATACAGACTTAAAAATATATTTGAAAAAAGGAAAGAAGAAATTCTTAATTAATGCAGAATGCAAAGAAGGAAATTAAAATATGAGATGGGTGATAGAGGAAAGAAACGAGCAATCTTGGGAGACTTAGGCAGATATAGTAGAAAGGTAAGGTATAACAAAATAAGAACAAATACACTATTTAGTATTGTTGCTTACAATTAATGAAGCTAAACCATGACAAGTCATATGGTAAATCTGCTATCATTTTTATTCATAGCTCATAAATACTTTGAAGTACCGATGTGTGGTCGGTTCCCAGACCAAAACAATTTGAGGAATGTAATTGCATCCACGCCACTTTCATCCCTGTGCATTTTTGATCCTCCTGATATTTCACACATGTTAAAGTACTTTTGATACTGTTCATTAGCTATTACAATGAACACCTGAATAGACAGTGTAGACTACCCAATGATGTAGCTATATGTTTTTCTTGGGTGTCAACTTCCATCCTTCAGAAATTGCTGATTAATGTAACTAGATGAAATATCTCAAATATACATTTGAAATAGAGATAGGGTGGAATTTCATGCTCATTTCATAGTTATTGTTTTCCAATTTACCTTGTTAAAGCATTCTCATAAAGATTTTTTTTTTTTCTTCAAATGATTTTATATGAAGTGGCTTGTTCATGAAGATGTAGCTTTACACCAAATGGTTGCAGAGAGGAAAATCTGAATGAACTATGTGATGCCACATTATCTGTATTATTTTGCCAAAAAAAGTGATCAGGATTGTTTTCCCTATCTCAACTATTGCTACATGTTCTTGTATATGATTCTCTTGTATTGATTACTCCAGAGCCCATACATGGTTGGAATTCATGATGCATCATTACACAATTAAACAACCTACTAAAGTAAACATTCTTGAAAGTGAAGCAGAATTTCTAGATTTAAGTGTGAGTATTGATGTGGTGCTTGAGATTGTAGTGCACATGGAAGTATGAAGTGATACTATATGAGATGTGTAGGTACTTACAAAGATTGTGATAGGTCCTCCAGTGAGAGAGACACCACCAAACCTCAGATCCACTTCATAGTTTCCTGCAGCAGGGCAGGTCCAGATGATATCAAAGGTTCCATCAGGATTCTCAATGACCTTCACATCAGGTATCTCTTGACCGTTAGGACCAGTGATGGTACAGGTCACACGACCTTTACCAGCATCACGAGAGTTGACCTTGATCACAGTCTCCTCTTCAACCACCACTGTCTTGGTGATAGTCTCTTCTGCTCACCATCAAAGATAAGGGACAATATGGTTAGATGTGTGATGGAGATATACCAGTCAGTTTATAGCATATATGTATGCCTAGAAACCAAATAAAATGTACTCACTAATCAGATATTATAACCAAAATTCTTGATGATGGACCCAGCAACATGTCAATACTTTTGTAAGTCATTGTCTGTTTTGGAATTATGTGATTTACCATTTGAGAAAAAACAGATTAACATAATTCTCTTACCATTCGGACAAACAATTCGTCCCTGTTTTCACGAAGTGACGGTAGTGAATGAAAATCGTATACACTTTGCGTGCGGATTTTCCTCACTACCGTCACTTCGTGAAAACAGGAACGAATTACAGGTACTGATGCATCATACCAGTGTTTAATGTCTGAAATGCATTTTGAAAGATTTTTTTTGTTTTTAAAGTTGGAAGGAGGTTTAGAAATATTGAATTCTATCTTGATGAATAAAATCAAAACTTAGTGGGACCTATTTATGACTCATTCAGAAAAATCTGGCACCATCCATTAATGAATGTCTGTCAAACCTTTTCAAACAAAAATTATGATGAAAATCATTACCATTTACAATGTTAAAGTACCCAAAATTAAAATTAGAAATATAAATATGATATGTTATATTTGTTATACACAAATGCATTTCCAAAAGGAATAATCATTTATCCTTTATGAAGATAAAATAGTTAGTTACTTCTCAATACACAATGGAAGAAAAAAGAAAAGAAATACATATCATCTCATTAATATTGTAATTGAACATTACAAAACCCTACTACAAAAATGTGGTAAAAATATAATAACACTTCAACATGCAATACACATTTAGCTTGCAGATCTATGACAAATACTACAGTACATACATGTAAACTATGCATACTCTAGAGACAATTAAAGAATTCCATGCTTTTTTAAAATCCATAAACAAGTTCACCTCATTTCCATAAGAGTATATATTTTAATGTCATACTAAATGTAAAAACATGAACAGAATGCAACAAATAATTTTAATATCATAACTTTTTTTTAAAGGAGTTGTGAACATTTTTAATATCAGCTAGCAATATCCTAAAAAAACTTTGAATAAATTTTGAAGAAAGAGCAAACTTAAAAAGATATTTTGAAAATTTGTAGCATTTTAATGTGAACATAACTATTTTTGTTCACAAGAAAACTTGTAATTTATTTTATTTGAGAAGAGAATGATTCAGCAGCATAATTATTTGTATTACACATCAATACAGAGTATCTTAATCATTGGCCCGCTACTTTGAGAAGCTGTAAAGATTTTTCTTAGTTCACTTTTCAGACTTCAGATTTTCTTTGCTAGCCATCCTCCCCATTCTCACTGCAGGCAGGTAAGCTAAGCAAAAATATAGTGATACAAAAAGACAGGTCCAGGATGCAAAATGCAGAATTGTTGAAAATAATTATCGCACAAAGGTAAACCCACATCGTTACGAGATGGAGCTGGCAAATACATGTACTCTCTCAATTTTACTAAGTATTCTGCATTTTGTGTTCCGGACGTATCTTTTCACTACATTTCGCGGAGCTAGCTTCCTCCGTAATGCTGATAATACACCATCAGATCTCATTCCTTGGAGCTTGTAAGAAGCTACATGTAATTCAGTCATAACAATTGATGTGCAACTTCAAAGTATATAAATGGATATTAGATCACACACTAAATGAATAACAGATATATGAGCATACTTCACTTGATGTAATATGATTGGAACATCATGCCATCAAAACCCAATGTTATTCTGTATCATGCTTTCAAACATTACTTAACCAACAATCTCAGAAAAAGTCATTATTTCGAAGTGGTTAAGAAAGGAAACCTTTGGAAGGGAGCAACGATCACCAAACATTACTTGCTCTGTAGGTCTGGGCTGCTCATTCAAATATCAAATTTAAACTCTCAATAATGGTAAAGCAACTTGTGAGTACCAGTAAACAAATTGATATCTTTTCATTCAGCATGCTGAGAATCGTTAATATTTCCCTTTAGATTCATTCCTCATTTGCCACATGAATGTCTCTTGTAGCTTGGGTTGAGTTTATGTCTTCTATAACAACATATACATTATCATTTTAATTTTTTTTTTTTTTTGGGGGGGGGGGGGGGGGGGGGGGGGCATTGGTGCCCTTCAAACATGACAAAAATATCTATTATTTCTTCTTTTGTTCTTTTCATCCAAGTTCATCATTCTTTTTTTCACCTTTTTTCCATCTTTATTTTTTTCACATATTGAATGCAGAAAAGAGATGATGAAAATTTATTTTCATAGACTGATTATTCATATACTTCCAAAACAATTAACTGAGAAATGATTAATAAAATATTCATGAATTAATGACTAAAAAATCAAGCCTGAAGTTACATTCATTAATCAACTCTGAAAACTCTTAATTGATGGTAGAAGCTTGGTTTTTGTGCATGCCAATATCATGGTCTGGCTGGCTCAGACTTCACTCAGCCTCAGCATGCTTGGCATGCATGCCATCAGAAATCTCTTTAATGATACTCAGCTTGCAAAACAGTTTATTAGAAAATGTTGTTTCACATCTGTGTTTCACATCCAAGACTAGACTACAGAAATAAACCATGCTTGTCAGCACTTCAAACAACCACGCAGGAAGGAACAAAAGACTGCCCTCTGGAGTTGGCAGCCAGATAAGAGTTGTATGGGACATCTTACTTGTGGTGGTGGTTCGCGTGGTAGTGGTACGGGTAGTGGTAGTACTCTCTGCACTCTTTAAGCTACCACGTCTGACTGGGATGTCGTAATTGCCGCTCTTACAACCTATAGATGGGATACAGCATGTCCCTTTCATTCTTTGCTCTCATTTCACTTCACCAAACATCAAAATTGATCCTTGTCTTTTAAATGTACTATGTCAATAATCCACAAAGAACAAGGTATTCATGAAGACTGATATGAAAAAATAACGATGAACGTGGGGTACTTCAACAAGACAGTACAAGTTTTGATAAATGAAATATGACACAATGAGATGAAAACATAGAAAATAAGATTTTTGGAAATAACTTTTACACAAGACGAACACCAGCAAGGCAAACATTGGATTTGTTCTTATCAAGAAACAAATTCTACCCTGTCCCTCTCTCATCCTCATTCCCAATGTTCCGGCAAGAAAAACACAATTAATAGCAAGGGAGAACAAATTATGTTTCCATGAAAAGTTTCAAAATAATTAGTCAAATAGGACTGGATTTACTCAGGAATGATTATGGTATATATTTTTTATGATGGAAACATATGTATCCTACAAATCAGCTATACCCGCTTCCTGTTGGAAAAGTTTCCTCATTTCTTTCAAACAAAGAGAACCAAACAAAATGAAATAGTAAAGACGCATGAGAGAAGGGAAGATGTAATTGATATAGTTCAGGGAAGTTTATCTGGCAGTTTAAGTTAGTACATTCTTAATCAAAACCCAAATTGAATATTATGAAGCTTAGATTTGTCTAAATTATATGAGTAGAAAAGAGCACTCAAATGCATTATGCAGATTGGAGCATGATGCAGAATTCTTGCCATGCATGGGTTCTCCTTGCCAGTCATGAGAAACAAAACGGCATTAGCAGAAATTTAATGCCCTATTGCTTTTAAATAATTAAATGGATGCAATCCACTATGTTTGGGTATTGATCATCTGTCTATTCCTACTTCTTCAGCATATAAATCTTACATGTTTATAAATAGCTAACATGCCAAAACACCATGCAAATACATAATAAATGTAGTAACATATGCAGAAATGTGTTATATCGTCTACCCCGTGTAAAAGTATACGAGTTAACTCCCTTTTTGCTCTCAGCGGAAGATATATTCTTCATATTCATTTATAGACCCTCTCTGTCTATCTCTTAGAATTGATTTGAAATTCATGTTATGGAAGATAAATTCCAATTACACTTTCAGTGTATTTTATGCATTTATGTCTAAAATAGCAGTTACTTCAACAATATGATCTTAAACTATGTTCAGAAGGCCTTTAGGTACAGAATCATCCCTTAGATATTTCTGAACTTTTGATTTTTCCTGCAATATATGCTTTGAATTTCAATGAATCATATTTTAAGCTATAGTCAAAGCCAGTTTCTATTTGAAAAAGCCAAGAACACTGGCTACCATATTGCAATGCTACTTACTGATTCTAATAGCTACATGTACATATTAAGCTAGGTCATCGATGACAATGATAATGTCACATAAGACACAACACTACAAGAATGAGACACATAATGATGAACTTCACTACACATGAAACCACAAGAAAAAAAAGACTACATTCATCATATGTTCACACATGACATGTAATGAATATTCAGCTCAAATACTTGTCAATATCTATGTCTAAGAGTGTTGAGAGCATGAGAAAGGAGTCACAGAATAAAGCCTTCAATGACAAAGTATAATCTGGAATGTTCACTAATATATCTTACATCATCAGCACATCATCAAACATTCTACAACTTTGCCCACATTTAATCCCTTATAATTATGGTGATAGCATTGACAAAATCCTTGAAAACTGTGATAAAATTGGAAATACTGATACCATGGTAATCCTGAGTAAGTCCATTTCCTTCAACCCAACTGAACTAGACGTGCCACTCCAGGCTGCATGAATCTGCATGCTTTCACCATCTCCTGCTTATAAATGAATACTATAAGTCTAGTACAAATGAATAGAGACAAATTCTATCTTACTCTGCTATTCTTAAAGCAACAGAATAAAAGATTTATTCTCCGTTCTGAGATCTCTAAATACCACTTCTCATGGAAGCAATGATACGGTAGAAGATGAGAGCTAGGGTGGCTTCTTACCCAAGATACTGCACTTGCTGGCATCTCCTGTAGGACTGGTCTTGACACTGAATGGTGAAGCAGGTACATTCTTGCCACCATAGGTCACAAGAACAGTGTACTGGCCCACATCAGTAGGTACGTAGGAGATTGTGAAGGTACCATCACCATTGTCTTTGATGTCTGGTTTCACTGGTTTACCATTCTTGTCCTGGAAGACCAAACATGATCAATAGATTAATGTTAGGTCAACGATAGAGGAGAGTTTGAGAGGATCAAGCATTACTACTTTATAACCAACTGATTTACATCCATGCATGTTACCTAACCAGATGGGTAACCTAAGCATTGCATAAGAACTATCACTAGCATCCATTCCGCAAGTGGAATTACGTGGGTCCTAGAGAAGGATCATTCAATACTTCGGCAGTGGCCAACAGAGGATCTGAGTGTATCATTACTGCACATTTGTTTTATAGCTCTAGGGTTTATACAGCTGGCTACGTCCAGGCTGTGACTCGTGATATTGTTTCTACTGAATGATTGTAGCTTGGAACGATTTGTTATCCATCTGAAGGTAACCTGATAATTTAAAGGCTGGGTACAGCAGAATGAAAGCGGTATTTTGAGGCTCAATTTTAGTGTCATCCAATTCTAAAATCTTTCAGCAGCACCATGATGCCACTTCCATTGTGACAGTCTGATTCACTGGCTTCACACATTTAAAACAATTCTTTAATCCAATACTACCTTATGACGTTCCCAAAGTATATTAGGTTATGAGAGAAGAACATCCAAGTAACATTCTACCTTCCGATGCATTTAACACTACTGCAAGTTGAATTGAACTTATATTAGAGACACTGCTTCAGGGCTAACAAACTTGAAATACTACAAACTGCTTCCTTTGTAAAAAATGACCATAAAAACTGTTCAATAAATCAATTTCAAGTCTACTTAAATGTAACTTATACAAGTGAAGTAAAACAATAATTATTTTGGAATATACTCTACTCAGTGTTTTTGATGATGAAATTCATGTCAAACATAATCTCAGTTGAAAACTATTCTTCTTAAAGATTCTAGTGAATTCAGAATCATCAATTTAGATATATTCTTCTCACAGCGATAGTGATGATTAATACTAGTCTAATGAAATTCATTTTTGTAAAGGCTGGTGGTTACATAATAATTACTACTTTGGATATATTCTACTCACAGTGATAGAGATGATGAGTTCTGCATCACCGGCTTCCCTAGTATCCACAGTGAACTCCACAGGTAAACTGGCCAAGACTCCGGTCTTCTGTACTCCTGGACCAGCAACCTTGACCTTGGATGCATCAGCCTTAGGAAGCACTTTGGTGTTGAAGGGACTAAAGAGAGAAGAGGGAAGATTTATACTCTGTCAGACAATCTTTAAAACAAAGAAATGAGAAGGGAGGCAGAGCTGAATAGAGAGTAGGGGCAGAACCATTTCAAAAGTGCTTTGATGAGTTATAAGACAAATATGAAAGTGTTTCTAGCCCACACGTAGGTGCCCCCTTCCTTCATTCTTCTACCAGTATTCTAAAAGCTTTATCTCTGGTTTGTAGAGAAACACATGGCAACTTCCAGATTCCAGAGACTTGTCAACTCGCCCCTTAGTTTCCAGTACTCTGACCAGGCATTCATAACAAGTGTTTTGATTCTCTTTTCAAACATTGCTTTCTTCATTTCAATCAAAAGATAGGCAGTTTCATCAGTTAAAAAGTAATAAATGGTAGCCCTATTTGATATGAGAATACCAGCGTGTCCACACACCAATTTTTTTAATCCCAAAACTCTATAACGAAACGTCACACTCTATAACAAAGAATCATTGTATAAATTCCAGGGCATCCACACACAAGAAGCGTTGTATAAAGAATCATCATATAAATTCCAGGGTGTCTACACACACAAGAAAGTAATCCCGAAACTTTACAGCAAAACGTTGAATAGGTGCGCAGTTTTCTACTGCGGTCATGAAATGGAAGTGGAAATGAGATGTCGGGTCTCCTTTCACGCAAGGTCACGTTAAGCCCCGCCCAGTTATACTGTTCTAGTTCGATTAGTTACGTCCACACACAACACATGCCGTGATTACGCATGATTCTTTATGGAGTTCTAGTTCAAAACGATGCCCAAACCTGCGTTTCGCTATACGATGTTTCGTTATACAACGTATCGTTATTAAGCGTCCACACACACAATTTCATAGTTATACAATGATTTGTTGTGTGTGGACACGGGGTACTTCTCCTTTCTTCTCCTGACTCTCATTACTCACCTGTCGGGGATGTTCTTGTTGTCATATTTGATGTCCACTTGACAGCGTCCTTCTGTCTTGGGTACGTAGGTCACATCATAGGTGCCATCTTTGTTGTCTACAATCTTAGCCTTCTCTGGACCACCTACAATGTCAAAAGGTGGATACTGAATCTTTACAATCTTGATATATTTGGATGCCCCTGTGTATGTATTATAAGCACTAAAAAAATTAGCCCCTAAAACACTTCTGTTTTCGAGAAAAATTGAATATAAAAATTTACCGGTGCTCCCGGTAAATTTTGATAAATTTCAAATAGCGCCTATGACCGTACAATGGTAGCTGCGACCATGAAAATCTCAGAATATGTAGTTGGGATATATATTTTCCAAACAGGAATAGCTAATCGGTCGATTTTAGTCAAGAAACATTGTTTCATAGCTAAATTAATATCTTGACCTTGAGAGGGAGCTATACAACATTAAGAGTTTATTATTTATAATTTCATAACTTTAGACTCGATTTCAACCGCGACAACGATCAATGTATATTGTAGGAACGCATATGCTTCCAATATGTTAATTTGAACCAAATTCATGACCCCATACCAAAACTTTGTAATACCTTTAAAGAGTGTTTTATTGGGGCTCACAGAAATTGTTATAACTGCTAATATTCATCTTAATTAATTGGACTCAACTTTTAAAATCTTGCTTGATAGAATTATCTCAAGGAAACTATGACTTTTTCACTCATAACAAAATAGTGGACAAATAACTACAAACCAATTGGAACCTAAACAATGTACTGTTAACGTGCATATCACCCAATGAGAGTCAGAGGGTATTAACTCCTTTTACACAGAATCAATGCCCTCCTGGTTCTTCCTAAATGATACATTGTTCTCTATTCTGCAAATTAAATAAAGATTTGTGATGAGAATCTTACCCTTCTCCTGAATGACAGTGACATCAAGTGGAGCTTTGCCAGCCTTGGTAGCATCGACAGTGAACTTAGCAGGTACATTGGCCCTGACTCCATCCTTAGATAGACCTGGTCCATGTGCCTTCACCTTGCTAGCATCAATAGAGTCCTGGATTGAGGGTCGGAAAGGACTCCCTGCAGATGGAAATATAATCAAAAAGGTATGGAAACAAACACGTACAGCAATTCCATTCACTGTACTTGAAGCTCATCAATTATGTATGAACAAAAAGAAGAAACTTTATTTGTAATTAAAAGAGGCACTTTATCAAAGCCTTTTTTGTTTCACGTATTTCAGAGACAAGTTTGCCAATCTGGGGTCATTACAGGGTCTACAACCGATTTGATTTCCCTATAACCAAAGATTTGTGTACCAGAACTGTAACACCATAAAAAATAGTCTGTAGCCTATCATCTTTAATCAAGCTCAGGCATTTGTCCATTATAAAGGAAGAGAATATGAGAAGCATTACCTGGGATGGCTTCATCAGCGAAGGTGACATGAACAGCATAGTCACCAGGTTCAACTGGAAGGTACTCCACAGATGCTGTACCATCCTTGTTATCCTTACAGGTCATCTTGGGTTCAGATGGTCCTTCAATCAGGATACCTAGACCTCCCTTGCCAGCGTTCTTGGTCTCAACAGTAAACTGAGCTGGTTTCTTGGTAAGACCAGCTTGAAGTCCTGGACCATAGGCTTTCACCTTGGAAGTATCATGGCCTGGGACTGCCTCGGTGGTGTAAGGTGACTTACCAAGAGGTTGACCAGCAAAGGCAACATCAACCTTGTGAGTTCCTGTTTGGAACACAAGAGAAAACACAAGATCATTATTGCAAATACAACAGTGTTGATTTTTGTGACAGAATAACAGTGATAAATAAAAACTTGTTCACTATTCCATACATAGTGCTAGGTCACATGCAACAAGATACATGCAAACATGTGTAGCACTTTCAGTTGCTAGGAAAATGTCCCATGCCAAATACTCCATTGATTTGCTTGCAAACCCGAGAAACTTGATCTTGTCCTACGGGGTTGTGCACACATGTTTCTTTTAAGTACCAAGTTAGACTAAACTAATATTCTAGAATAGACAATGGTATGTAATTTGGTAGTTGCAAAGGTAAAGGCCCAATATTAATCCCTTTCTGGATTGAATTTCAAAGCGAGAGTGATCTTACCTTGTTCTACAGGAGTGTATGCACAGGTGAATGTCTGGTCTTGGTTATCCTTGATGGTAGGTTTGAGTTTCTTTCCTGATGGGGTCGTCACCTCTGTCTTGAAAAGATCCTTGTTCAGTGGTTTATCAAGAGCCTTAGCATCAACCTTGAAATCAGTTGGGCACTCAAGGAACACAGCTGTCAGGATCAAAAAACATAGACCAGGGTTAATTAAGACAATTAAACCAACGATGAAGAGATGAAGTTACACAATTTTTCTGCATGAAGCTTTCTCCTTCCTATGAAAATGAATCACAGGATTCATTTCAATATAGATAATATTCTCGGTATGGCAGAGCAAGATGGAGTGTTTTGTATGCATATTTACATTATAAATAAAAAATATCATATAACTCATTACCGGTAAATAGCATTTTTGTTTTCCACTCAACCAAATTTGGCATTATATATGTATTAATCTAGTAGATGACATATTAGCTTCTTGTTCAATTGACACTGTGAGAAGAATGTAATGTTTTACCAATATTTTTCATTAATCAAGTAAAATATATGTTTATCACATAATTAGGGATTGCACAAATTACGATGTAAAGAAAATTGAATAGGAGATTAGGATACCCAGAGTAATACAAAGAAAATGGTCACAAGTGGGACTATATAATACATATCAATGAGCAATATTTCAAGATATTTCCATGCAAGAAATTGTTAATCAATTTGCTCCTTTTTTCAAAAAATTCAAGATGAATGATGCAGACTACTGATGGAGGACTAAAAGTGAATTCATGCAGATATACAAACAGACATATATACAATGGGTATATGGATAAGTTACAAAGTGTTAGATACTTGTTGTAACCAATGAGTTAGTACAATTAATCATGGAGTAGGAAATAGGGATGTACAATGAGATACATACATGGTTATATCTAACCTTCAGTCAAATTTAAAGGAAACATTGGGAAAGTTATTTCACGAAAAGACTAAAAAACTACCTACTTTTCATTCCATTTGACAATATGTAATATGTAATTCATTGTTCAAATGTCTGCCTTTTCAAAAGAAATTGTCAGGAATATGTGATTTCTTTTCTAAACCTTTAGGAAATTCTCTGTTTTAAGTGTTACAAGTTTGATAATGCTTGAAGCTGAATAATATTTGTCACATATTCATGTTTTAACAGAGCTGCATTCCATTTTGGTATTTGGTCCATTCATAGTGAGGTGTGTAATTTACAAAAACATAATTTTTCATTGAACTTGTTATGTGTTTGGGCTTTTTTTAAAATGGTTTGATCTCACAATATGACTGTATTCCCAAGAAATCTGTCCCTTCTCCAAACTCGATCTGTAGAGCAAAGTATTTTCTAATCAGATGTTGACTTTAATGACTAAAAGTGGGCTAGTGTCATGGGAACTCTGTATTAATCTCTGAACCCATTTGAAAGATAAAGAAATCTAAACCCTTTTTTGAACCTGTTAATGTCAAAGTGAGAAGGTAGAATGAGGACACATCCTGCAAACATTCTGACAAGGAAAACAATGAATGCAAGGGATGAGGTTTCACAAAAAAACACTTTGACTTCAAGGAAGAAAAAGATTACAATACATTTTGACAACAGAACAAAAAATGACTAGGTTTGAAATTTCCATATCCATTCTTCCACTTTTATAAATGTATAATGATGATTGAGAATGCAAACCGGAAGGTGTGGTGGGTAAACATCATTACAAAAGAAGAAAGAATCAACAAATGAGTTTGAAATATTAAAAATAAATGGAATGAATAAACTGAAGACAGAAGAAATATTGAAGACTGATCAGAAAGCAGAGATTGACATGGTCACCTAGATAGACAAGTGATGATTATGAAGCGAGGAATTAGCGAGGAAAATCAGTGAATATATGAGGAATATATATATATATATATATATAATATGCAATGATGAGCATTAAGTGAGCATAGCTTGATATAGAGCTTGAGTTACAAGCTTTACCATTTTCCAATCCTGCTCCATCTAGCACAATCTTCTCAAGATCGATAGGTTCCTGAACCTGGACTTCCTTGGGGAAGTTTGGGATAGGTTGACCGCAGTAGATGGTATTGAGAGTGGCTGGTCCTTCCTCCTCAGGGTAGTATGTTACCTCATAGATCCCTTCCTCCAAGGGCTTCACATCCACCTTCAGGATGTCACCATCTGGACCAACAGCCATACAGTTGACCGGGAGGGCAAACTTGTCGTCGTATTCATCATCAAAGTATGGTCCAGCTTCACTACAATCTACCTCAAACGTGCAGGGGAAATCCATGAATGCTCCGTTGGTCAGACCTGGTCCACTCGCCTTCACAAGTGATGGATCGACTACCTTGGCATGGAATGGAGAATCTTCAATGTGTTTCCCATCAAAGAGGATGTTGATGTTGTAGACACCTGCTGAGTCTGGGGTGTAGTTGACAGAGCAAGTTCCATCTCGGTTATCTTCGCAGTTGATTTCAGCCTCGCTTGGTCCTTCGATAGTAACGCCCAAGCCTCCTCGTCCTGCATTGCGAATGTCTATCATGAAGTCAGCGGGTTTGCCAACAAAGCCTTTTTTGAGACCATCGCCCTCTGCCAAGACCTTAGAAGCATCAGCTTTAGGAATGGCTTCCAGTTCGATTGGTTTATCCAACATGGGACATCCACCATACTTCATATCAAGCTTGTGTGGACCTTCTTCTGTTGGTGTGAACTGGACATCAAAACCTGATTCAACAGGAACGACCTTAACAGGGACGATCTGTCCATCCGGTCCAGTGAGGAAAGCTTCCAACTCTCCGTCGCCAGCTTTAGACGTATCGACATGAAAGGAGTTTTCTTTGCCTACATCTAGGCCTGGAGATGAGTCATGCAATAAGGTTAAGGAAACAAACATGCATTATGAGAGCTGTATGGTCAAACATCATGCTGTCTTACACCAAGGGAGCTTCAATGAATTTCACTCCAGAATATATGGTACATGGTACTGAGGAAGATTGGTATGTATTTCTATGAAGGATCATAATGGCTGGGAAAGGGTTCACTCAAATATAGGAATTTTCAAACATCTTTCACATGGTATGTGTGAACATGGAATAGTATGAAGATGCTTATCTCATATAATCATCTCAAATTTAAACAATTGGTGACACTAGAATCTCTTATATTATGATTTCTATTTGACAACATTAGTTTCTATAAATGGAATGTACAAGTTTTGTAAGGTTTTCACACATAAATGCTGTGGGTTGGGTTCTCTGAATTATATGTTGGGAACAAATAAATGTATGAAAACATCAAATAAAGCCATCACGGTCTCCCCTAAACAACATCATACACCTCATGAAAAGATGTCAATATGCATCACTTCCTCCTCTTTGAACTCTTTCATACTAAATTCAAATATCAGAAATATATATGAAACATATTCCATGCATGATAAAACAACAAACCCACAGAAATTCACAAAACTTACTTTCTTGGAGATCGGTGATCTGGATCTTTCCAACCTCTACATCTGGAACAACGCTGACAGAGATAGGGCTCTGAGGGATCTCAGTGCCTCCATACTTGACTCCAACGGCATATTCTCCTGGTAATTCTGGGGTATACTGAGCAGCGTAGGTTCCATCATTGTTGTCTTTGACTTGGACTGGGATCTCCTTCTCTTTGGGTCCGTTGACACCTGCTTTAGACTTGATGCCCACAGTGATGGGAGCTGAACAGGTACAAGATAATTATAATATACATAACGTTTAAAACGGTAAAATAACTCATCTTTTATAATATAATAATGACAGGAACACATGAAACGTGTTAAAAGTGAAAGGTACAAATGGATGTTTATAAGTATTTTGAACATTCAACTACTGAACATATATAGTTAGAAGTTGAGATCTCTCCTGTTGCTTTCACCAAATGATCATTTTATAAGGACTGACTGATGCTCAAAGGTGTAAACAAAAATCTTGATCAATGAATGACAGAAGTGGATGTTCTCCAACATACTAACAAGAGCCATCATCCTGAGTTAATATAAGCACTTCATTGTTTTCTATATATGTTTTTGTTTCATCTTCCTTTTATGATTGTGTTATACTTTATATAATTATGTATATTGTAAAATTGTAAAGCGCATTGAAATGTCAACAGACATGAAATGCGCTATAAACGAACAAATTATTATTATTATTTATTATATAATTTCTTTATGGAGAACAATAAAGACCAAAGGAGATAAGATTAGTTAAGAGGAGCTTACCTTTTCCAGCCTCCTTGCAGTCGACGGTAAAGTGAGTTGGTGTCTTAGCCTTGACCATGCCATGCTCTACACCAGGTCCAAACACCTTCACCTTGCTCACACCACCTCCAACAGATACCTGAATACATGGGTAGTATTTAACAGATATGTGAATACACGGTTCAAGCAGATGGCAAGGTATGAAAACTCTCAAAGTGTGGATTTATGCTATTTGATGTAGTTTACCATCAAACAATTTTATGATTAGGTGACAAATTCATCCCAGTTGATTTGATACAACTGAAATTTACAATACGACAAAGCATTGCTCTGAATTCTTCAGAGCAGTATGATAGTCCACCAGGAGTGTTAAATCATACCGAAACAGAATCTGAAGAGAGTGTACCCCTCTGGTGTCATCATCAATCATATCATTTGGGAACAATGACTCACTAACACTGGGAAAACCAGAATAATGATTAATTTGAGAAACAATAACTAAAAGTGAATTACAAATGTTGAAGCAAAATAATTTCAATTTTTACTTTTATCTCAATTTGTTTAAATCACAAAGTTTCCATCAAATGTTTTAGTGCATTCCAATCCTGAATTGCATCACTTGGTAGTTTTATCATTTTCTACAGGATTCTTCTCTTGATATGTTCCGCGCCTAGAAACAAAGTATTAGGCGCATTATAAATGTGAGCAATTATTATTATTTATAAGATACATACATAGTGGATTGAGCTTACCTTGAATGGGCTTTCTGGGATGCTGACACCACCCCATGTGATAGCCACGGTATGTTTGAGAGGATGTTCAGGAGTGTAGTAGACAGTATAGGTTCCATTCTTGTTGTCCTTGAGCTCGTATGCTACCTTATTACCCCACTGGTCCTTGATGTCAATCACCAGCTCAGCCTTGCCTGCATTCTTGACATCCACAGTGAATTCAGTCTTCTTCTTGATCTCAATACCGTCTGGCTTCAGACCTGGACCAAAGGCCTTCACCTACACAGAGTAAACCATACAAATCATACACACATACAACAGAAAATTTGAAGAAAAAAACATTACCTGGTCTGAGCTGATATTTAACTTTAGGATAGATAAATCCCATACATTTTTCTTAATTTAACATACCAAATATTCTTTTGATATAATACTGTTCTGTACATTTTATTATTTTTATTCAGTCTTTATTTCAAACTTCTGTTTGACATGTTTGACATGAATAAGAGATGAAATACATCACATACCTTTGTTGCATCGAATCCACCAGGATTGGGTGTAACCTTGGCGATGAAAGGACTGTTGGGGATATCTTCCTCCTCATAGGTGACATGGATAGCGTACTCTCCTTCAACGGTAGGGAAGTAGGAGACTTCACATGATCCATCACCGTTATCCTTACATTTGATCTCTGCTTGTGATGGACCCTCAATAGCAAAGCCTGTATCACGGAAAAACAATCAAAGGGTTGTTGCTCTTATTGTTCTCATGACTTCATAATATTTGATATATTGCAATTTACCTGATAATAAATAAAATGTATACAGTAGGCTTACTGTTGCACCATGTGAGAGGGGGAGGATTGGGGAGTTCTGAAAAGGACTGTTGGTAATCTTTCGTTCTTGAGTGTGTGTGTAGTCCTGAGAAGGACTGTTGGTAATCTTTCTTGAGCTTATAGTTCTAAAGAGAACTATAGCGCTGGTAGGAGAGGATGGTGGTAGGGGCTACGAACTGGTCTACTATCCGTCGTGAGCAGGGAAAAAAATTAAGCTAATACCTGATTTATCTTTAACGCAGCCACAGTAGCAATACAATAATATCCCACTTCTCAAGCTGATGAAAGACATAAAGATCCATTTATATGTTTTCTGTCGAGACCCAATGAAGGAAAAGGAAATTACTGAGTCTAATATCATTTTCTCACCAGAGTGGTGGCAGCAGTGGGATATCTTTATGACACTATTGTGACAACTGCTTAAAGCTCATCTTACAACATTATTGAAAGGCATTGCTTGAACAGTTTGAGCATTATAATTGATGTTTCTTTTATCAGGTACCAAATATTGTATCGTAATTCACATCTTGGACTTTGAGAATGTGGTTTACTCAATAAAATCAACCTTCTATTGAAATGGCCGTTGACTAAAATCTTGGCAATACATTTATGACTAGCATTGTCTGTTGAATCATTACAGCAAAAAGTTTAAAGATCAAAAGCTCCACTCCAGTAGAGTTAATTCAGCAGACTTACCAAGAGCACCAACAGCACCATTGGTTTCCACGGTGAAGTCACATGGCTTGCCAACCACGCCCTTCTCAAGACCTGGTCCAAAGGCACGCACAAAGGTGATAGGTCCAGTAGGCTCAGGCCCAATGTTGACAGTGAATGGAGCCTTAGGGATAGGCTGGCCACCGAACTTGATGTTGACAATGTAACGTCCCGGCTTGTAAGGGGAATACTTGCAGGTGTATAGACCATCGTTATTGTAGGTGACCTTGACAGGTTCATCGACACCACCTAGATATACAAGTGATTTCCAGCGTGAGAATAAAGGCATGGTATACATGCAAGTAATGTGATACCATTTTAGTTAGAAACAAGATAGATGAGCAAGAGGATAGATACATAAGATGACGTTAGAGATATAAAAGACAGCAAGGAATGGGTTAGTACTAAATATACATATATATATTCATTATCATTCAAGGTACAAATACAACACGATGTTATATCTAAACAAGGCAGGCCTATGCATCATCAAATTTTGATAAGTTTTTCTCTCCTTTTGAGGCTCTGTCATTTACAAAAAATTGGTACTCTATTTCATATCATCATGAACAAGAAATTAGTGTTACATAGGTGGAGACAATCAGACAGGCAAAGGTAATCATATCAATATGATTCTGAACTTCAATAAGTGATTAGAGCAATGATTACAATAAAACAAATTGATATGAATTAATGCATATATGTCTTTAGAGAACATAAAGGAATGCTCTAAGACAAGATCATATCGTTAGTCGTTAAGATTCTAAAATGCACTATTATATAAAAGGCATCTGATAGTATACAAACATTTCGAAATGGTCATCTGGACTTGTTTTAAAAGTTGATATTTCCTTTTGCACCTGCATGTCACATCAAGCGTGCAACATGAAGAGTGAAAAAGAATATCAAACATTGAAAGCAAGTATTTGATACAAGTTCTTGGCATTGCCTTCTCACTGAAACACTCCATTTTCTGAATCGAATTGTGTGGAAAGGTTTTTTTTTATATTAACAAAAAGGACGAGCATCTGCCAGATCTCCAAATGAAAAGCATCTGTTTTCTGGGTTATTGATGCATGAGTGTGTGTTTGTATCAGGAAAACTAATCTGAGGATCCATAAGACACAGCTAAAACATCATGCATTATTTTTAGCACAAACATAGGATTAATAGCTGTTGTGAGAGTGTTTATGGGTAGAAAGCAATGCCATGGTGTTAGTATCGTGTCATACATTACATTATATGAGAGAGAGGTGTTAGGTTCTCTCTCTCTCTGCCAATGAGTTTATAGAAGCAAGACTGAGAGAGCGGATCACCAGGTTCTGGTCTCAATGACATTCAGGACTAACACAACAAAATGGACGTCAGTAGGTACAGGATGACTCAGTTAGGCTGGAATGAAGACTACATGCAGTCAGTGATGACAAACTAATACCCTATCCCTTTTTTACAGTCCTACATATACATGGACATGTTATGAACAATCTCGATTATTCTAAAGTGGAAACGTACAACTGTCGGCCTATACCCTTAACACAGTAATTGACATACAAAATGAATGTTACTTTCAATTTTGAATGAATGTGTACATGTACAGCTTCTCAGTAAAACAAAACGAAAAAGAAACATACTGAAAAATCTATAATCTAATTGTTGGTATATGAAAAATATGATTCATCTTCTCATCTGCATTAGGTGAGCTGGACATGTTTTACCAGTATGAATGAGTGATTATGAGATGAATGTGTTATGAAGTGGCAATGTTATAGAGAATACCAAAAATGTATAGATGGGATTCAAATCTCCAACAGAAATGAGAGACTTGACAACATGGTTGGATTTATAACAAGCAATAATGGACATATGCATGTGGGCCAACATACTGTATACCAAATTGCTCACATTCTATAGACATATTTTTTTGAAATCCTCTGACTATTTTGTAATCTATTCATTTCTCATGTGTACTTTGGCAAAATTCCTTCAACTTAAAGAGTGGATTTTAAAGTTTGAATTATATTTCTTGTTAAAAGAAGGGGTTGGTCAGAGTACATGTACACATTCAATTCAGAATAGGTGTTATCTAAATTTAAATATGATTTCCATTAACCTTACTTTTTGAAATTACATACTAAGAGATAAGAATATACATAGGACGATACAAAAGAAGATCACTTGTAAGTTGAGTAAGTGTAAGTAAAACAGGCACCTTCAATCCCATTATAAAAAAACAGTTTCTATGTCTAAATAGACGAGTCTCTTTAGACAAGTCATAAGACAGAGTTTGTAGAATATGTGTAAGTAAACAGGCACCTATTATCTATTAAGTTGATTAAAAATAAATTTCCTGATATTAACCAAACTATTATTAGTTTCACTTCAAACCATGCTAGATCTCTCAGTGAGATACAATCACACCATTCATACATAAAGAAAGAAGATATATAGAACAAGCAGAATAACAACATAAATCCACACATGCACATAAGGTTAAACAGATCATTTGCAAATAAACTTTGTATCATAAATAATTTCTGAAAAATATATATCTTTTCTTCATATAAGTTAACTAAATGTTTATAATCGAAATATGCAAAATCAAATAATTGACTATGAGAGCTTATCATTTTCATGAATTAAAACAAAATAGTTCTCCTTTTTTAAAAACATAAAATAAAACATTTACAATAAAGAATGAAAGATCATATAAAAGAGGAAATTGGAAATATTACATCAACATCCAAGTCTCAAGACTGTCACTCAGAGAGAAAGAAGAACACATTGGTCATATCATATCATAATCACCATCATCATCATTATCTTCAATATCATCATCATCCTCCTCATCATTAGCATTATCAACATCCCTAAATATTTACTTTTTATCACCCTAACGTCAAGTCCTACTTGTAGTCTCACATACGTCTATCAAAACTATCACTTTTTACTATCTACCATAACCCTTACAAATTCAGTTGTAATGCTGAAGTGAAATAGAAGCCCAATTCTGGTTTTGATTCTAGAATAGTACATCTGTCCCAATTAAAAGCTACAACATAATTTCTACTAAGAGCAAATTTATGATGTATAAAATAATTTCTATAAAATGAATAAGAGTAAAATTCCTGAGCTTTGTATATTGTACTAGTACTTAACATAGCTTTGCAGAACTGGCAAAAATAATTTTGTTGCCCTTAATTATAACAATAAGGAATATTTTGTATATATGCTCTTGATTTGACTTTAAAAAACACTGCTAAAGTTTCCCTGTCCTACTCTTTACACGGCTAACTATCTATATATTCTGACTGACTGCTATGCAGGTTCTCATACACCATCCACCACAAAGCCATCCTCACTGGCGACCATTTTGGTTTCCCAGAATGCCTAGCTCACCAGGGCCAATGATCTGCACTTTCAGTTCAGCCTCTCCCGCCTCTTTGGTGTCCACAAAGAAGACGCATTCCTCCTTCACACGCTGGCCCTTGGGTTGGAGACCACGTCCATATGCAAATGCTTTGCTTGTATTCAGGGCTGCAAATGATAACGGGTGAAAATACAACAAATTAAAAGTTTATGTTCACTCCAACAGATTAAAGGTCAAATATGCATTCACATAAATAAAGTAGAAAAATGGCAAACCATGGTTTTGTTTACTATCTTTAAACAAAATGAAATTCAAATTCAAATTCAATGTCTCTTTGAATTTGAATTTGAATTTGGGACATTATTAAGTCAGTACATGAATTTGTTCATTACAGCAACAATGGTCATCAAACAATACCAGCTGACTATATCGAGGTAAGTCTAGTACAAACCTAATGAAAACCTTTCATTAAAATATTATAAGAGAATAATGTTTGGGAACTGGATCCTTATTATGTAAGGCTGTCATTTCCTTCCATTTCATGCTTGTCTGTATTTGTTCCAATGCTGAACACTGATAAACTATTTCGCTGTGTTCTAAGCTTCTTCTCTTTTCTCACTTGTGAAGGAGTGAAAGAAGAAACTCACCATGGGTGATCTTGACGTTGAAGACACTACCAGGAATCTGAGCACCAGCAAACTTGACTTCAATCTTGTAAGTACCAACCATAGTTGCTGTGTACTCCACGTAGTAGACGCCCTTGCCTTTGTCTGTGATGGTGGCTTTCACCTCCTTACCATCAGGACCAAGTAGCATAACTGTTGGTGTTCCAGCTCCAGCACCTACAAAATTATTGTCAGAGTCATCCACTTACAACAGGTCAAATATAATATAAACACATCTAAGGACTAGACCAGTCATCATTCATGCCATTTGATAAATATTTAGCATTGTAGTTAACTTTGGTTTGTATTAAACAGTGTATTAACAGTGCACTGCAAAGACTTTGTGAAGTGGTTGATCAAATCATTTGAAAAGAGATGTGAGAAATATTATAAATTCTATAAAATTACAGAGTTTTTTAATTTGGGGCTCTAAATTTGTTAAAATTGTGAATACTAAGCTTGAGATAACTCAGAATGGATTCTAGGGAAACTGTTTCTGTATTTTTGTTATATGTGTTAAGCAATAACTTATTTCAAATCTGATTACATTACCCATATACAATAAAGAGCCTAAAATGAATACAGAGTCTACATTTCATCAACTTATGAAGCATAGTAAGGAAGTGAGTATTTACCAGCAGTGAAGATCTCAAAGTATGTCTTCTGGTTGAGGATGACACCACTAGCTTCTAGACCAGGACCCTTGGCAGAGCACTTACTAGCATCAGATGTGATGTTACCAATGTTGACGGTGTAAGGGCTCTTAGGGATCTCTACTCCCTTGAACGTGATCGTGATCTAAAGCAAAGTAACAGGTCGATGAAAATAATCTTAAAAACTGAGCTTGTGTTTGAGATTGTGAGCTTTAAAGTAATGAATTATTAATGAACATTATGAACATTAATTCACTGCATGTACACTAATATGTTACTTGACTTTGAAGATCCAAATTGTCATTTATGACAGTTTCTGTACAGCCAGAATTATGATACAGTGTATCACAACAATAATGAAATATGATACAATTAAGCACAATAACATTAATTCCTGTAATTACAACTTATATTATAGGAATAACAGTGACATCTTCAGGATGCCTCTTAACTATTGGATGATATAGCCTTTGACATGGCTCAATATTTCCCTTGACTCTGAATCGTGCCGTTTGATTTTTATCAAGCAAATACGTTCTAATATCCCTTTCCTATCCAGCACACCATCCCTGAACATTTTCCTCTCTTCCGGTTCAAAAAGAAATTTTAATTTGTTCATGTCTAAGGTAATTGCTACAGAAGAAAGTGTAAATCAAGACCCATCATTTACTAGTAGCTACCGATAGCCATGAATCACTCTTGTACTCACTGTGTGTTTTCCGTGAACTTTGGCAGTGTATTCTACAGTGTAGGTTTGTTTCTTATCCTTGTTAGCTTTCATGGTATTTTCCACTTTGTTGCCCTTAGAATCCTTAATGAGCACTTCCACGTTCCCACTGCCTGCACCGAAGGTTTCTACGGTGAATTCAGTAGGCTTGGAAATCACATTACCGTCCTCAAGACCAGGGCCGTAGGCACGCACCTAAATAAGACAAGAAAAGAAAAAGAGCCCCCCACAAAAGAAAAAAAAAGCAAGAAAAAAAATATAGTCAGAACCAAATTGGAGCTATGTGGAAAAGTCCAAACAGGGCTATATCAAAATGACAATCCTGTTTGATCATAATTGACTTTCAGGGGTGGATCCAAGATTTTCCAAAAGTTGGGGGGGGGGGGCCTGAAATGTATGAAATTGGGAGCAGAACATTTTGAACCATCAGATGCTCTATGGTAAATTCTGAGGCATTTCTGCAAATTGAACAATTATGTGAATATTTCTAAGCTTTTTTCCTGCTACTTTTTAGAAAAAAAGGGGGGCATGCACCTCTGGACCCCCTGGATCCGCCCCTAATAATGCATTTCATTGCCTTCCATTGTTACTCGTAAGAAATGAACAAAATCTAAATCCTACAGAGAAGGTGTTTTACCTTTCATCATGACGTTATGATTAACACTAACATTATTCTCATCTATAGTCAGATTGCACATAAGGTGCATAGTTTGATCTACTGTAAGCATAAAGTCTAAGCACTATAAGTCTGACAAAAACTCAGATGTACAACAAACAATGTCAATAAAAAATGTAAATGAAATATATTCAGTTCCCCATTGAAGTCAGCTACAGAAAAGGAAATACATCATTGCCTGTGACTTATCAAGGTAGCAGCCATCTTTAAAAAAAAATAGGGTTTTACCTCACACCCAAAGCTAGATGAATCAACAAATGCTCCAGATTTGTCGCATGGCAATTGAAGAATTTGTTTCGACTTGAGAACAATGTCCTATTTTCTGCATGTATCCCAATCATCTATTCTAAAATTGATGTGGAAATCATATTTTTCCCAACAATAAATTTCAACATAGTATAACTAAAATTCACACAGCATCACAATGCGTAATAGAGCTATACAATGTCATGCTACTCACTCTGTTATAATCATCAACCCAATCCAATCAAAATGGTATGTGCTAAAATCTTACTCTTCTATAGAAATAGATTTATATAGTATACAATTGAATAAAGTATGCCTTTATTGAAGTGTTTTCTTAATCATGCCGATATCCACACACAAGCATATATACATAATCACACAAAGACTACTTGAACGATAGACACTTGTGCAGTGCAGATACATAATAACAGACATACATGTAACACACAAATACAGCAATAACATAACAAAGTATTGTCTGTGGAAAGTCATAATTCACTCTCTTCAGACAGGATCTGTCAAAAGGGTGATCCCATTTAGGATATACCCTAATGCTTCCACATAGTTTAACTTAAACATTGTCCCTGCTTCTGTCACATACAATTCATTATCATTTTTACTCTGTTTTTTATAACTAGAATGTCTTCTGATATTATTTTAGTTAAATTTCATATATTTGCCTACTGCATTTTATGTTTTCTTCATTGTTTTGATGAGATGAGATATACTTGTTGGTTTTTATTCCTCTTTGTCTAATGCCACCATTTATTTTTTAGAATTCTTCATAAATTCTGTCAATTTGTCTGTATATTATGCAGCGGTCACAAAAGTTCGTACGAACGATTATTTCGTACGAATCTCCCTGTTATTCCATTGTCTTCCCGAATTTCCATTGTCTGAAAATCGTTCGTACGGCGTTCGTAGCAATTCGTAATGGCATTTGTGACCGAGGCTTAATATGTCTCTGTGTGATGGTCTGTACGTAAGTCTGTCTCTGTCTATCTGCTTGTCTGTGTGTGTCTGTCAATTTCTCTGGGTGTGTTGGTCTGTCAGTCGATCTGCCTGTCAGTCACCTATACACAGCACTTACCGTTTCTGCTCATCTCTATCCATGTACCGGTATGTAGACTTAATTTTCCCATCCTCAAGTATTAAACACCACAAATTTCCTTCTTCTTCCTTGTTCAAACATCAATGTTTCAAAACCAAGTTTGCAACCAGCAGCGTAATGGCATTAGTTATGTTAATGATAGCCAGCAATCATTCTTACTATGGGTAAGGGTTCCTAGTATGATTTATGGAGTCTTAGATGAGTGCTAAATAATGGGCTTCAATCCTTGTGCTTAATCTGAGTCAAAAAGATTCTCTTAATACAGTTTCCTATAAAATAAATGTAAAGCTTGAAGTTAGAAAGTTTAGAAGAAAACAAGAATTTAAGTTACGTAAAGATGCATTTTGTGCATTCTTCACTTGCATTTCAAACTGCAAAGTAGACGAAAGCATAAAAAGAATTTTTTTTTTTTTATCTCTTTGGTCTCCAAGAGCAAATTAGAGCTTGTATTGATTGAGCTTTTAGTACTATTGACTTATTAGTACCGGTACTATTAAAAACTGAAGATTACCCCTTTTAAAACAATAATTCCTAAATAGTATACAACTCCTTTTCAGTTCCCTCAGGTCTGTGCAAAATACCAAATATTTGAATAATTTAGAAATAATTTATATTAAGCCTCCTAACTCTAGCGACGATGTTCACTATATTCCTTGTTAGTTCAACCTTTTTGACTCAGTATTCATTCCTATGTGCTGTGTCACTCAGCTGGTCCTTACCATGCTGTATCTCAAAACGTCACACCTTCATGCGAACAATGAAGGGTTTCTTACATACATTTTGTACCTTCTTGGCATTACTCTTGGGTCGCAGAGGTGCACCTGGCTTGAGCTTAGCCTTGGGGAAGGCAGACAGATAGGTCATCATACTCAGGTCATCAACAGCAGGGTTCACCATATCCTCGGGCCTCAACACCTGCAAGGAAAAGAAGAACAAACAAAAGGAATATCCTTCATTAGGATTATATCATCAGTAAAATACTATAGATAATTGATATTTCAACAAATCGGTTGTGTTCCCTGTTTCCATGTAATTACATATATATGTCATTCACACACTTGAATAGTACAAGTTGTACATATTGGACTTTGGTAAAGGACATGTAGCTGTATATATTTCTGTGTCTACAATTTCAGATATATGTTTCTCAACCTTTGCCAAATGTCATTGATTGGATACCTTTGAAAGTATAACTGAAAGTGTACATGTATTTGTAAGATGTAGAATGAGAGGATGTTTAAGGCCTATTTATAGCAAGTTCTTTTCAAGCTAGTTTCAGGATTTATATTTCCATTACACGGATCTGTGCAGGGAACCGGTTATGGCACATAATATGGTACAAAAATAGATATTCAGTGATGATTGTGCAGTCCCTGGTGAGTTTAAAATACCCCATATCCCATGAATGCACTATGTCACAGCATGGGTTATATCGGGAAAGAGTGACAGCATCAAAGGTGGGGGGGGGGGCAGGGAATCAAGAAACCCATTTGAATCTTCATTTCTAATTTTCCCTCAGCCAATACAAACAAAATATACAACCATATGTGACACATATACATGTACCAGTCTGAATGTAATCACCCTGGGCCAGCTACATACAGGCTGGAGCTTCATATGGTTCATGTATTGTGTAGTTGGGTGTGCATGCTCCCATTAAGGAAAGGCATTTCAGCTATGCCTCGTAGCAGTCTACACTGCATAGGGCACATGAGAGGTCAAAAAGATAAAGTTATAATCAAACAAGGACGGGAGAGGCATGCTCCTCAAAAGATGATAGCATTTTCTTTATGAAAATAATGCTTTATTAGATGTCTAGGGGATTGTCTGTAATATGACATATATTGCTGATTGTCATGGCAACAAGACAATATCCTTTTCTTGATGTTTGGCCTTGCACTGTAATGGGTGTAGTAGTATTATATTTTATGAAAAGTATGTTAACATACATCCCAGTAACATGAAGCTCATCCTGTAGGCTTATACTTGGGACATGGAGTAAGACGCTAATCGAGATATATGGTGCAAGGTTGATATGATCATGTTGTCATGGTAACATTCCAGGATGATGGCCAGACTGATTTATGTAGGCCCCAATTTTAGAGAAATAGAAGTGAGGGTATCCTGGTGTGTATGTCTAATGCCTCATCATATATGATATAGCTTGCATAGAAGTTTATTCAATTTTTCAGATTATAAAGTGAGTTGATGAGAGTTTTGGGGATTCAAATTCAAATCTATTTAGCTGTTCCATCATTTTCCATACAATAGTCTCAGATACATTTTGTTCAATTGGCTGCCTGGCTACGCCCACTTTTTTATACAAAAATAGACAAATACTCTGGCACTGGAGTGAAATGAATAGTATCATTGAATTATAAGCAAGTCTGTCATTAACAAAAGTGATCATAGAATAGAAATTAATTTGTGAAATAAAATTGAAGCAGAATACATTCCTGGTGTAGCTATCACTGCTAAATAACATATACCGGTAGAAACAATACCATATATGGAATAGGGTAGACTCTCATAACTCAAGCATTATTGACTTTGCCCTGTGACATCACAATGAAATAAGAATGTGATATTTAATGACCTTTGAAACGTTTCAACCCATGAGAGACAAGAACAATCTCAGAAATGAGACATTGTTCACATTATGTTCATAGGCAGACTTTGTACCTATTAAATTTTCATATCTAAGTTGAATTATGAATGAAAACATTATTGGCAGACTTCCATTTACAAGTTTAGAGGTAAAATCCTTCAGCTTGCAAACTTATAAATGAAACCAGAAACTGAACAAGCTTAGTGCAGGCCTACACCATGTTTATAGTATCTGTATAATGTCTCATTCTGAATACATATATAAGACAAATTTGGATGTGTCATTTGGATATTGATTTAGAAATGTGATTGAATGCCTTCACCTGTACTGATTGCAACAATGTACATGGAATGTTAATGGCATGTGGGAGTGTTTACGGGGCGTGTGGGTCTGTGGTTTTAGGGGCAAGTTTGTCAAATAAAGGATGAATAAACTATCTTTTTAAAATTGTATTTTCACAAATCACTATACCATAGTCTATTCTTAAATCAGTCTCCCACACCCCAAGTCCATGTACATCTAATAATAAAATATTTCATTGCTATCTCAAAGCAACAGAAGCTGCTTTATACACTAGCCAAACATTAACAGGAAGAGGCCTTGTTTAATATATAGATTCATATTGTGTAAGGTATGTTTACCATAACATAATTCAACGCCAACTCAGTCCCTGGTGGTCCTTAACGCCCACTCCTAAGTTCTTATGTCAGCAACCCATCCCTTCAAGAGCAAAGTACATTCTACATGCTTCAACTTTCAATAGATTTTATCAGCTAGTTTCGTTCCTTCCATATCTAATCACCCATACTAAAATAAACATATTGTGTCAAATATTTCCCACACTTTCTACTTCGCGTTTCATTTTTCTCCCACCCTCTTTTGGAATACTTCTCAAGCCTATCAAACAAATCAAACAAACCAAACAGCTACAAAATTGTGCCTAAAGGTTCTAAAGACCTCTATTAATTAATATGTTTGACAAATGTGAGACCTAACTGTGCATATTAAAGTAGTCACATATCACTTCAATTTGATAAACTCAACATGTGCATAGATTATAACCACCTAGGTAACGGTTTCTCTGCTTCTAGTCGTACCAGTCCAGACACACCTCCACATACATCGTATACAAGAGACAAGCACACACCTTGTCAATAGGGGTTCATGTCTGTCTAGAGGTACCCTGGGGATAATACTTCCAATAAAATGGAGGCCAATAAAAAGGGCAGAGACATGACCTGGACTTGAGAATCATATTTCATTTTTGCATGGGGTGGGTGGGTGCATGGAGCGTAGAAGGTCCATGGTAGGCGTGTCTATGAGTTTGAAGTGCTTGTCAGTGTCACTGTAGCTCTCTACTGCTCTATATTGTTATATTTGATGAATGGTTCTTGAATGATGGCAAATATATCATTCATAGAATTTACTGGTATTTAATGTTACCACTTTGATTAGCAAAACACTGAATCTATGTGAGAAAATTATTTGAGATGAGTATTAAATATAATGGTTATTTAAAACAAGGACTCTATTGCGAGTTGGTAATTGTGCAAAACCATTCAAAATGTGCATGTGGTCTTAGTGTATCACATACTTTAGATGAAAGAAATGTTTTCTTTTGAGCTCCGTGTTATCTATGGTGTGATTGAAATAATTAACGACTGTATGTCTTAATAGACTGTGGGCTTGATTGACAGCTCACTAAATGTTTAACAAGCTTTCAGAATACCACCCCAACGCTACACAATGAATGAACAAGGTATTTATCTTTTAAGTATTGGGAGATGACCATACTGAAGATGTAAGAGAAGATAAAAACAAAAATTGTTTTCTCCAGAGACAGCAGTCAACACACTGTAAAATCACTTAATAGAAAGAAACGTTATAATGTGACCATACAAGGCATGGACGGTTGAGAGGAAATGAGTTCTATCTTTTCATTCTCTGATATCTCTAAGGAAATCAAAGAAGCAGATGTTTCAAGGTTGCTATGGTGATACGACCAGCATCCTGCCTAGGTGTAAAAGATAACCTTTTTCCTCTAGGAGTAGATCACACCCATATCAAGGATAAGATGATATCATTCAGTTAAATCTATGTTATGTTAAACAAATCCATTTGTAGGCAAACAACATTATCTCACAGAGTAGCTTAAAGAATATACTTACACGCCCTTCATCTAAAACATCCTTCGTAAGCCCCATGAATAAATCAAATGAATTTCATTGAATCCATTGTTTGTTCAATGGGTAGTTATAACATGAACATAATTCTGATTTCTGAAGTGGTGTTTATAGCAATAACATGATCATGGTTGATATTGATGTATTCATGTATGTTATATGATATCATCTTCCTGTCTGGCTCAACTTAGATAATGCTCACCTAACTGTACATACACAATCTTAGATTTCATGTAAATCTTCCTTGATAATGGTCCAATGGTGGCTCAAAATATCTTGTGAAGATCTCTAACTAATAGGGGGTCCCGTTTCATAAAAATCCTTATCAATAACAAATATTGAAATCATTGAATTTGATTGGCTGTTAGCAAATTTGTTATAGAAATGAGACACTTGTTATAGATAAAATGTTTTATGAAACATGGCCCAGTCATTATCTACTGAAAACTATATCAGGACAAGTTAACTCCTATTCTTGAATCTGATGGAGTTAGCATCCAAATTTCATTGAATGAAGATTGTGCCAATTTTCATCTCCATTGCTTTATTGGTACAGTATATTATGGACAATCAATATTCTTTAGTGAATGCCTGTGCCTAAGGTTTTCTTCATGAAGTTACATACCTGAGGTACATCCAGCCAATCTTCAGCGAGTTTCATAGCTTCTGTTGCGTTCTTGAGAGCGTCTTTAGGACTCCAGTCCTCCCAGTCAGGGCAAAGACCTTCAGAAATCAAACAAATATATTGCTTAGATCACATTTATCCTCCAAACAGGATAAAGGAAGATTGATGCTGATATTGATATTTTGTACTGTACAATATATAGGTTTTAATTGATTTATAAGCATAACTAGACATATAATACTTGTTTGGAACAAGTATAGGTGGGCTGGTAAACTAAAATTTGAAAACAAAATAGAGCAAAAATAAGCGAGAAACTGCTTTAAAATTCTTAATAACAATATCATGTAGATTCATTACGTCAACGAAATTCACCTTCTATAGTCATAACACGCAAATTGTGAAATTTCTGACATGAGGCCTTTAATCGAAATTTTCACTCTGATGACATTATCAAAATGAAAAATAGTGTTCACTAATCTTGTAGAGAATTGTCTCAGCTACATCATGTCGAAATTTGGAAGAAAATCGATCAATATTTACAGAGATACAATCAATGTTACATAAATATGCTGACGTCATTATATGCAAATTCGTATTTTGAGTTCCAAGGCCATTATGATGATGTCACGATACACTTAATGGCCAAATGAGACATGGAATCATATTTCAAACTCATATTCTGTCTAAATATGAAAAAATTTTGAAGGTCACGGTTCATTCCAAAGAGCTATAATGGATTTTGTATAGGCATGTTTTTGCCCATATATGCTATGTATTAAAAGAGCTCGCGCGCACGGACATTTATCTTGAAATTACGCTCATCTTGTTATTAATGGTCATAAAGAGATAAACATGGTATCAAATTCCTTGAAAACATATGAGAAATATCATGAAAGAAAAGAAAATGGCGATTCTATGTTGTGTAATGGTGTAACGCGCGAAAACGCGCGCGCATGCTCGTACGCACGATTTTTTATAAAATGCTTAAAAAGATCTGAAACGTATGCAAAATAAATTTGAGACGATTTTGAGCATTTAATTTTTTTGCGCGCGCACTGACGCGCGGACGTACGCGCACGCGCGCGTTATTTGACCTGCAATTGACCGGACTGATATTGACCTTGATCATGATAAATATGAATGATAAATACCTTTTGGTTATGAAGATATGATCATGAGATGATTTTCAGAAAATTTCACAAAATGGCGCCTAGATGACGTCATCAGTCAAGGTCAAGGTTGAAAACCTTACCGTGTCTTTTCCATATGCCTATACATATGTGTGCCAAATTTCAAGTTATTTGATTTAGCCATTTTCAAGTTATCTTGTTAACAAAAAAGTGGTTAGAAATAAAATAAATAAATAATAATAAAGGCAATTTTAACAAAATTATAAGGTGGTCTGTATAGATACAGCCCACCTGATAAAAAAAAGATTATTGTATCAACTGCATTTAAGTAGAATTAGAGAATCCTGTAGGTGGTTTTGTGACAGGAAAATTACATATTTTTTCCCCATGACAAGCCTAACACTTGGATGAGTACACATCTAGCAATGCTTCTATTACACATCTGCAGACAGGTGAATGAGACCAAATGCAGAGAGACCAAATGCAGACAGGTGAATGAGACCAAATGCAGACAGGTGAATGAGACCAAATGCATTAAGATTAGAGGGATGAACAATATCTTTTGGAGCTAGAAGGACATTAACCCTCTGTAAGATTATGAGTTAACAGATGAAATAAAGTGATTTAATTACCTGGAGCAAGAGCATCCACAAGAGCTCCGATGGCCTTAGCATTGTTCCAATCCTTGTTGAAGTTATGGATTGGTGTGTCTGGTACCTTGCCGTTGATCCATCCAAGTAGCTTCTCCTTGGGTGACTGCTTCTTCTTATCAGATGACATGTCACCATCATCATCCCACATCGGCATGGAGATAGAGTAATGCAAGATGAGCAGCCATATCAAACCAAGGATCAGCTTCAACTTACCATCAACGATGTCAGTACTGTCTGTTGGGTCAAGCAAAAACAGAGGTGGAAATAGTTAAAGAACTTTATTCAAATTTTGAGTGGGACTCTTTACACCATTTTCATCATTCTTGATGAAGATAACACTTTGTTCAAACAAACAAAAACTGCAGAAATATAATATTTGAGTATGAAATATGGCCTTGGCTTCTACTTACATACTTTTTCCTTTTTTCAACTTCCTTCAAAAATGCCAGAAAGACATTTAAGTTAAAGACATTTAGGTTGCAGTTTCCACCTTGATTTTGTATACACTAAAGGAATTGTTTTCTTCATATCACAGCAATAATCAAACTTGGAGAATTCTGTATTGCTTGTACAAGAGAGGTAGGTATAAATGCTACATTCACAGAGCTACCAAGTATCACGCATTAGGCGCGACATCACACATTTCGAGGGTCTGAAAATGCTCTAACGCACGATGCGCGCACTAGATTTTGAAAAAACGCTATACCTTATATGTGTGTTATACCCTCGCACGCCGAATCATGAAAATGTCACGCATTGTTGATCTTTGAACTTGGTGTCTCTGCATTCAACATGCATGGGTATGGAGGAACTGGGGTAGACATTGATATCTTCATTAATCTACGGTAGTATGCCATGCGTGACTGTGAAATAGGTAGCTCAAGTCAATTGTTCATCAATTCCAATTGAACAGCATTGATGTGAAAGAGAATCCAATTCATTCTACATAACTGCATTGCACTCCTTCGTCTCATGACTCCCTCCCTACCAGTCTGTTAACCCTCACTCAGCCAAACAGCCATCGCGCATGAAGAATTCTTTCTTTTTTAAACAGTTTCTAATTTTTTTGTGGCATGATCGTTTTTGAAATGACCAAATGCATATGGAAATATAATCCTTTCAACACAGTTAAAAAAAAATAAAAAAACCTTGGTCATTTACATGTAAGTCAAAATTGGATAAGGAATTAAAAACCTAAAGGTATTTTATATTCATGACACCACAATTAAAGACTGGATATTGGTTATGTATCTATGATAAGAAACATCTCCCAGCATGGTACAACTCTTTCTTGTAGGTTGGCATAATTTGGAGACCCCTCCCCCCTCTTCAGCCTTCAATACTCATCCCAGTATGTCTTCTCTGTGCATATATAAATCCACTTGTTCTTATTGGATCCAAGATTAAACACTATGGGGTCATATGGATGACTGCATGATGTGAATATGAGAAAGGGGATTTTCCTGGTATTGCAGCTCAGCATTAAATGGGTGGTTGTGTGTCTGTATTCTATAGGCTACATTGTACCCCTGCATATATAGCCTATAATCTAGGCGGAGTGCCGAGCTTTTTTCTTTGCTGCTAGACTAACCCTAAGCAGAACGTCTGATACGGCGAGACTACGAACCGTGAGTCGCGAAGCGGCTCACCGCCTATAATCACTGGTCTAGCTTAGTCGTTGTTTTTTTATTATCGACCATGAATCCGTGGCAGTTTTTCGTACGAAAAAACCTCATGAATACGAAATGAACTCAACCAATCAGAAACACGTATGGAGAAGAGTCTATGCATATGCATATTATAAATCACGTGACATTACGTCATTTTCTTCATCCAAGATGGCGGGTAGTTCATGCGACGACGATCTTCTGCGAGAAAGTTTATCATATGCGGCCAACAAACTAGGCATTCCTAATGGAAATTCAGAGAACTGCAGGAATCCGCTATTCGTAGCGTTATTTAAGCCAGCAGGGATATTTTTGTTGCATTACCTACTGGTTTTGGAAAGAGTGCAATATACCAAGCAATCCCCTTGTGCTGTGATTTTCTATCTAGCGCAATCTTTTTTCGTTGCGGTTTCTTATATCTGATTGGTCGAACGTAACATAGGTGTACCTTATTTGGTAGGGCTGTTGAATGATTCATAGATCCGCCATTTTGAATATATATGAATATTGATTAGCTAGACCAGTGATTATAGGCGGTGAGCCGCTTCGCGACTCACGGTTCGTAGTCTCGCCGTATCAGACGTTCTGCTTAGGGTTAGTCTAGCAGCAAAGAAAAAAGCTCGGCACTCCGCCTAGATTATAGGCTACTGCATATAGGGCATGCATGTACATGTACAAGTCTAGAATTATCTGATTATGATTGCTGATCACATCTGTATGTATGATTCCATGCCAATATTTATGACATAAGTTATCCCTGTGGGACACCACAGCAAATTTATTTTTTGCATACATAGTTCCCGCTGCTCTATACTGAGGGAAATTTTGTAACGGTATGTAAGCTGAATTGTTAGTACATGATCCTGTAGCAAAATACATACCCCAATAAATGCATTGTGCAAACTTATTAACCGTACAAACACTGTATGATAACGTCTTGTATTATTTCATATATGAACTTCCGTGTTAACTAGATAAAGATCTAGAAATGCTACAAACCTATCGAATGCAGCCTCCTAAAATACTATTTTGTTACCCCATAACAAAATTGTCATACTCAAGATTTAAATTTAAAAAGACAATTTATAAGTATGACCAAATTGAAAGCCAATCTATACCTCGACCTGGCCTTACAGCACTATTCAAAGACACCATCTATTCATAAACAGAGTGATCTGAATTACGAAGCAAGGATTGCTGGCAGAAAGTGGATCATGATTGAATGGCATGATAATAGTACCTGGTTCCACAGGGCAAAGTACACGGCTCACAAGAAAGCCTTATAGAATAGAGACTATAAGGTCACAGCTAACGGCAGCCTTGCAGTGGGAATCCATTGACTATGATAAAAGCTTAAGTGTGCACATGAATTCATCTTTTCAAAGTAATATTACCCTGAAGGTGCGGAGTGTGGAAATTACAATCTTCATTCAATGACAGATCTATAAAAAGCAGATGAATATGTGCACTCCTAAAGAATGCACTTTAAAGGTACTTGTATACTTCAGGTGTCAACCATATGCTTGTAATAAACAATTATTATATTTCACTAGGATAATATATCATCTACATGCATCATTGTAATGGACACATAATATGTACCCAATACTATGAATATTTTTTTTTAACAACTTCAACCTTCTATAGAGTAGACTGTAAAGCAAATATAAAACTAGATATTTTACATGTAGGTAATAATCTTTAGTTCATTTCACTTTCCAAATGACACCGTTAAACAAATGCATTTCCTTTGAATCAGAGAGCAGAATTGTACCACAAAAATATCTTCTTCTTTTTTTTTGGGGGGGGGGGAGGTAAATAACTTTTTGTTCATGCTCTGCAGCAAAATAGGTTCCTGTCTGTACTTCATGAATTATAGAGAATTAAGGCATTAGAGCTGAATCTCTTCACCTTGTAAACACTAATCTGGAAATCATCTAGATTATCAAGGCAAGGATACAACCTAGGCCTAGACTTCCACCATATCTCTGATTATAGAGGGCAACAAAAGTACATTTCTTACTGCCTATCGGTAGTCAGTCTATACCCAGTGTTCATTTACTTTATGAATCCTACTTTTTAAATAATATTCTTATCTCACTGTCTGTTCACATCACAATGACATAATTCATTGACTTCCAGACCACTTGTGATTAATTATTAATTTAGACTTCACATGATGAAACATAATAATCAGGTTAATTGTAAATTTGACATACATTAGCACAGACATGTTTATTCACATTTGAGAGCACTGATGTGATAATTGCAACCTTTTTTCTGTAATATATCACTAAAGGAAGGGCTCCACACCAGCTTTCTTTGACTGAGAGTGAGGGGGTGGGAGGGGGTGGAGTCAGAACCATAGGGATTCTATAGTGCAACAGGCCCTGTCAGAGTTGTTAATTTTAAGGATCCACAGTGAAGAGGTTGGGGTGTCCCCTACTGATCTCAAGCCCTGCCAAAGGTTCTTACAGGATGAAAACCTTGATTTTCTAATACCTGTTTTCATGAAGGGGCAGGAGGAATGAAGATAGATGGACCGTAGATGAGTCACTTGTCTATAACATGACAACGTGTGTGTCGGCAAGGAAGTAATTTAGATCAAGCACTTAAGTTAATACCTCGTTTACATGGATAGCACACTTTACAACGTACTATCAATAGATCTATGAACAAGATACTTGATAATGTCCTAGTAGCCACACAATCTCTGTGTAAGAAGCAAATAATTTTCTGAGATTTTCCCCATGGTTTACAATGTTCAATCAATTCGACTGAGCACATGAGTTTGACACATGAGTTTGACACAAGAGATTGACAGCTCATCCATATGGTCAACTGGGTCACACATGTGGTCAACTAGGTAAGTGGTTAATTGAAAATATGGGAGAAACCAAAGAATAATAATTTACAAAACACATGAAGGGAGGGGAGGGAGGGGGAGGGAGGGAGGGGGAGGGAGGGAGGGAGGGAGGGAGGGAGGGAGGGAGGGAGGGAGGGATTGGAGGAAGAAGGGAGCAATAGGGAGAGAGATGTCAACATTTTGCACTGAAGACAGATAACTATTTTTAAATTCTTTTCATGTCTGAAGTCAAACATTTTTGTGGTTGGGATAACTCTCTTTGCTTTGCCTCATCAACCTCATGGAGCTAATTGTTTTCAAAATTTGTTTGACAGAGTGGAAAAATATTTGCATGAACTTGTTTATTTCTGAAACATGATGGACAACTATCAGCATTGAAAACTCTCAAATTGAATAGAACTCTACAAATATAACCTGTCAGAGTTTGGGGTTTTTTTGTTGTGTTTTTTGGGGTGGTGGAGGATAATGGATGTGGTCCCTCCCATCCCATCAATGTTAGTCAACAGCAAGAATTGGTAGACAAATTGATTTCTATACACACGCACAACAGTACAATGACCCTTAAAATGGTCTTCCAGAGTTCACAAGTTCGTAAAGTTAAGTGACAAAAATAAGCACATACCAGTATGTCCAAAGGTATGATTGAATCTTTCATTTTCATCATCAATAATCTGGTTAAGTCTTTTCAAGAAGATCATTAA